GAGAGCGGGAAAACTAATGAATTCCAATTTGAATTTTTTTTTAAATATTTTCCGATGAAGATATATTTTCTTCTGATTTTCGTACTTTCCGTTCAGAACGGTATTTTTTCAGAAGAAAATGATACGAAAAGAGCAAACCAGAAGAAAATGAGACAATTCGAGATTATTTCATGAAAACATATTTTTTGGCTATACAAGGTGTTTCAGATTTAAATGTACAAACATCGATGTGTCTACCATCTTTTATAACTGTGATGCAGAACGTAATCTTGATTTCGGAAAAATCTTTCTCTGGTCAGCTCATAACTTTTGAGCCATGTTGTAAAATCGATTCATACTCGATAGGAATATTCAACTCATATTACTCATCAAAATTGAATAGGAACCGAATTTAGAATCTAGATCCGTTTTCTGGGAAAACAAAAAAACTTATTCTTTTTCAAAAACGACACTCTGTATATAAAAATTTTGTAGATATGTTTTAATATCAGCAAAGGGCAGGAAAACTGAATGAATTGGCGTACTTTCCAACAGTGTGCATCCAATTTGACTTTTTTCCATCATTATTTTTTGAAATAGAATTTTTATTGAGCTCGTAATTCAAAATTCGATTTTATTGCAAAGAAATTATCAGTCCTCAAAATTCAAATTCATTAGAGTCAAATTAGGTAAACTATCGATAGAATTCATTGCATAGAATAATTTGTCAAATAGTTTAGATACTTATGAGTGCTCGTTACAATTTCACTATTCCAGAAAATAATGATAATACAAATGTGATTATGCAGTTATGCCCCGAGTTATACAGTGGTCAAAAAATGAAGACTATATAAGGATTTTGCCAAAATTATATTTTCAGCCTGTGTTTGATTTTTTCAAATCGTTAGACTCATCTACTATCTACTATCTTGCATAACTGTGATACAGAACGTACCTAATATTGATTTTGGCAAAATCTTTATCTGGTTAGCCCATAACTTCTGAGCCATGGTGTATAATCGATTCATACTCGATAGGTATATTCAATGACTTTTCAACAGGGTGCATCCAATTTGACTTTTTTCATCATTTTTCGAAATAGAATTTTTGTTGAACTCCTAATTCAAAGTCCAATTTTGTCATAGGAAAATGATCAGTCTCGATAGTTTTCATTCCATAGAATAATTGTTAATTAGATATTTTCAAGTGCTTGTTACATCTTCAGTATTTCAAAAAATAATGATAGTTTGAAAGCTATATACATGAAATTCTTTTTTTCATTTAAACTTTCAAGGTCAATATCTTCAAAACGAAGCGCGACATACTTTTTTTTATATGAAGTACTAATATTACTTTGGCTTACTCAACCAGTCCTATCATTTACAATATGACCTTTCCGGACATCCTGTATATTTTGCAAATTTTTCCTAAAACCATTTTTCACTCATTTGGGATTGAATAAAAGTTGCCAATAACATTTAGATAGCTGTGGACACAACAGAAATGCCATGGAAACAAAACAGGCATTTTTTGACATCTCTGCCGGTCTTTGAATTAAAATGGGTTATTCAGTAGCGGAAAAATACGAAATTGTATAATTGTTATATTATGAAAATATTGCGGAAACTTCGGATGCAGCAAGAATTTAGTCTAAATCGGATTTCTTTTTCAGATTAACAAGCAAACAGACAGAAAGCAAAGTGTTTGATACTTTCCACTAAGTCGGAGAAAACCATCCAGTCAAGACGGACCGAACAGAAAATCCGCAGAGAGAACTGACCAGAGTATACTTTTCAGAATTCTGATCCTTATATATTCGTACGGAAGGCGATATATTGAATTCCTTTCCAGATTCTCAAGCAAACAGATAGACAGATATTCACCTTTATGTCTCTATGGAAACACGACAGGTACCCTTACGAGGGGAGAGTATCAACTCGGCGTTTATAAACCCTCTCTGCAAAGGAGGTCGGCGCATGGTGGGTTAGGTATATACAGTGTTTTTCATTGCAGAGAAAATCGTTGTTTATCTGCCTACCTCGTCTGCATTGAGAGAGTTGATGAATTGATGAATAATCATAAAAATATATCGCATTTCAGTTACGAATGTTGAAAACAATATTCAGACTTTATAGATTTATATTCTATGTACGTCTCACGATTCAAATTTCAAATTGATGCTTAGTTTTAGATCGGAGCAGCACACTGTTTGGCATTTATGTTCCTTATTATAACCCACGAAATTCAAAATGTAGCAGATGTCTACTGGGAAGACCACTATTCGGAAGGAGAGCGAATATGAAGCAATTCATTTACGGTTGTTGGAAATATTATTCAGGTATGTTTCAGATTCAACATCAGTTTTAATTCTCATGAACTTTCTGATATGTGATATTTAGTTGCAGATCCGAAAAGCAAAGTGTTTGATACTTGTCAATAAATTGGAGAAAACAATCCAGTCAAGACGGACCGAACAGAAAATCCGCAAAGAGAACTGACCAGAGAGTATACTTTTGAGAATTCTGATCCGTATGTTCGTACGGAAGGCGATATATTGAATTCCTTTCCAGATTCTCAAGCAAACAGATAGACAGATATTCACCTTTATGTCTCTATGGAAACACGTCAGGTACCCTTACGAGGGGAGAGTATCAACTCAGCGTTTATAAACCCTCTCTGCAAAGGAGGTCGGCGCATGGTGGGTTAGGTATATACAGTGTTTTTCATTGCAGAGAAAATCGTTGTTTATCTGCCTACCTCGTCTGCATTGAGAGAGTTGATGAATAATCATAAAAATATATCGCATTTCAGTTACGAATGTTGAAAACAATATTCAGACTTTATAGATTTATATTCTATGTACGTCTCACGAATCAAATTTCAAATTGATGCTTAGTTTCAGATCCGAGCAGCACACTGTTTGGCATTCATGGTCCTTATTATAACCCACGAAATTCAAAATGTAGCAGATGTCTACTGGAAAGACCACTATTCGGAAGGAGAGCGAATATGAAGCAATTCAGTAACGGTTGATGGAAATATTATTCAGGTATGTTTCAGATTCAACATCAGTTTCAAATCTCGTGGACTTTCTAATATGTGATGTTTAGTGGCAGATCCGAAGAGCAAAGTGTTTGATACTTGTCAAGACGGACCGAACAGAAAATCCGCAAAGAGAACTGACCAGAGTATACTTTTCAGAATTCTGATCCTTATATTCGTACGGAAAGCGATATATTGAATTCCTTTCCAGATTCTCAAGCCTACTTGTGTCTCTCCAAAGAAGTACTAACAGAAGGATCTACCAGTTTACTTCTCCCCTCAGTGCTCATGTATAGTGTTTTCTCTCCTCCCCTTACATTACATTGAGGTAGTTGTGGAATAAAAATATGAACTTTAAAAACCTACAGGAAAATCAATACAAAAACACAAAAAATTAGAACTTTATGAGGTACTTACCAATAAAATACAGTTTGATAAAAACATAGAAGCAGCAAAATTACGAATCTATATTTCCAAGATACAATTTGAAATACAAAGGATATGTTCAGATACCTAAATAATCATCGATATCTCCTTAAACTTGAATTCAATTTCAAGGAATGACCAGAAACAAGAAACAACTGATTATATATTATGAATCTGGGTTTTGGTTAAACATTTTGTAGCTTTTCCCACTCATTTGCAAGATATCCTGGAATCTGAATGACAACTCTTCTTCCTTGCTGAAAATTTAAAAAGATGTTAGAATGGTCCTAAATAAACATTTATAAATACCTAGATATTTGATTTATTGGTTGTACATATTTGTTTGAATAAAGGTAAAATGCTTCTATTCTGCTCATGTATAGCTGTATTTTAACTTAATAGTTTTGTAAGTACATGCAATCTAAATTGGCTATCAATACTACAATGATAGGAATCCATAAAATCCTATGCAGGATATCATGAATATTATCTTGATATGATTCAGAGAAGGCAAGCATTTCATATAGAACCATAAAATACTGACCTGCACATTTTTCCAATGTAATCTTTCTTGCCCACCCTTGTGTATTGCAATTCAAAAGTCCATTATCACAATAGGTATTTGAAAGAGAAAGGGACATACTTATTTTTCCTAGTCCTAGTTTCTGGAGACTTCATCAGAAACTTACCATGCAAAATATGAACTGTTGATCATTTCAATCATGTTCTTTCAGATGGGCACTACGACAAATAGTTAATAATCAGTAATAATATATATCAATGAATCACAACTTTACCTTGTTTTCATTAATTGGAGCAATGAAAGTGGAAAGAGGTAAAGGATATAGGAAGTTTTTTCAACTTTTTGTAGTAGGTACATATTCTACATCCAGTTTTCAAATTCACATTCGATGCTCCACGATTATCCATTTTTCCATCCAACTGAACTGATTTTTCATTTTCAGAAAATACTTCTTGAGTTTACCATCAACAGAACACAGTTGATTTCTTGGTTTTTGAGTGATAATTTGATTCATGATTTATAAAGTAATGTAGAATTGTGTCGGTAATTAATATGAAGTTCTTGTCCTGTACTCAAGAAAATCATGAAAATAAAATCAAAGTAATTTGTAGAATGAATCACATGAAATATCAAATGAATGAACAGAATAACAAACAATAACAAAAATGACCTTGAATGCCCTGATAAACTGGTTCAAATGTGCCCACCAGATGACGTATCGGAATCATCACCTTGCCAATTATTGCATTTTATTTAAAGTTTCGATTGGGTGTTATATGAGGAAGTGTATGAGATCATTGGAAAATGAAATTGTTATTTGTTTTATAGTAGTGATGTGTAGCACAAATCTCATGTGTATATCTCTGCCAAGGAAATTGACAGGTGCTAACTTTCTATGCAGTGAGTAGATAAAAATCATTCTTTTATATCAACGCATATTGGAAATAAACCTTTTTTTTTTCATCTCAGCGGGTAAACTATGATCTCGCGTCCTTCTCTCCCAGAAACAAGATAGTCCAAAATTACTTACCGAATATATTCGGCACATCATTAACCGGACTGAGAGGCGGGGAAGCGTAAATCGGACTTTGGGGTTCGCTTTGTAGAGGGGACAACAGCTTGCTGAGGGGCCTCGTTTTGCCACCTCTGCTACACTGTTGGAGCTGTTGTGTGAATGACATAGGCTGAAAAATAATTAGTCATCAGATTATTGCATACCAAGAACATCTCAGGCTGTATCAAGTCTGTGGTTTGACCAGGCACATACGTTCAGTATGAAATCTGACCAACCAGCTATTTGGGAATATCGGTCACATGTCAAACCTGCCCACAAAGTTACCACGTTAACTTTTGATTGGAGTCCAGTCAACCATTGGCCATCCTGGCATCACCACTGTGGTCGAATGAATGACTTGACACAGCCTCAATGTACCTTAGTGCTACCTTAGTGTACAATCAAACGAATAGGATTTGATAATGGTTTTCCCCTACATATCATAAATCCCATATACAACATAAATCTTTCTGAGTCTGTCAACCGCAGTTCATTATCAATGAATAATTCTGGAAACCTACTTGAGTGAGGATACTCATGATGTCACCAATATTTGCCATCTCATCAATATTTTCCCATATAAACCCCCTAGGGAATGAATTTTTTGAGAATTATCATGAGTCGCCAAGCGACAATGGATGATTGTGAGTAATGATTCTTGTTTTGTACAGTGAATCGGTGTGGTCCGTTTGTTTTTGTGTCCTATCCTATCCTAATCTCAACCACAAATCGCAAAAACAGCGACCATTACTAATTGTCTAGGTTTGTTTTCCGCAATAATTACATTGATTTCGTGGATTTCAGATTTTCCAAATGTTTTTTTTTCTCCGATTACCTGCTCTATCAATACTATAACACAAATCTCTAACAAGAAGTCCCACTATGTATATTTGATGTTGAACGGAACTGAAGTCATTCTTGATTTGTTTCTCCCATATTCGAAGATCTTGGAATTTAGATAGGCCTGCTCAAATGTAAGCACATTTATCAAAATGTGTGAGTTGTCTTTGCTATTTTTGATTATATGAATTTTCAAAAACTGTTGATAATTAGTTTTAATATTCTCTTGAAGATGCAACACTTCGAGGAGTTAAAAAAGTGTAGCAAGAACCTATCCTATTGATGAATATTTGATAAAGGATGAAGAATGATGAAAATGCATTATAACAATAAGGAAAAACTCGACCGAGTAATCGTTTCAACACACCTGGATGTTTTGTGTGGGTTCCCTCTGTCGATCGCCATGCCTGCTAGACTGACTAGAACCGGTCAGATTCGAGCTGGATTTCGAGTTTGAACTGTGATTTCCAAGAGACACCATGGACCTTCTTTGCTGGTCAGTCCAGTCGCCAGCGCCGCCTGGCGGATACAAAATGGCGCAAGAAGGTTTGGTTTCTGCAGTAGAAGCTGAAATAATAAAAACATCAAGGAGCTTTATTGGATACCTCAAAGGCCACCGACCGAGGTCCTTCAGCCTGTGTTACACAGTGATTATACATTGGGATTAAATTCATCATTATTGTATGTACAAGATATATGGAATTATTAAATTTGCTAGTGTAAAAAAAGCGAAAGAAGGGAGGTCTATTGTGAGGCAAGAATTTTGAAGGAATTTCAGTCTTCTGAATTGATTAGGCATTCCAATAGTGTGTTTTCCGGAAACTTCGTCTTGGGTTCACTGTTGGATCTCTCTGTAAACACTGGAATTGGATAATTTGGAGATTGGACTCGTTTTTGGAAAACTTCAAGGTTTGCTCTTTCAGTCTCTCAGAAATTGGTTGCACCCTGGTCAGCCGATATAGAAGTTCGTTTGATGGATGGTGAAGGGGATTTTGAGAGTGCCGGATTTCGGTAATGGCTCTCAGACCAGCTCTTTCTGCTACTTCCAAATTGTTCAGTGCCGTCTTCCTAGTGTTTATGTATATTGGGTGAGCATACTCAAGAATTGGGCGGCAAATGGTTTTGTAAATATGTGCTGCAGTTCTTTTGCTAATTCCTTTATTCTTGTAAGTTAGGCTTCGAAAATGTTTAGCTCTTGTGATGCATTGTTTGCAGATATTCAACTAATGCCACAGTTCTCACTACATGATTAATCACAGTTACCGTGGGTGAATCATCTGATATTTTTTGATTGAAGAGAATCAGCTGGGATTTTTCTGGATTTGGTTTTAGCCTCCACTTGTCACACCATCTCATAGTGTTTCGAATTGCGTTTTGTAACTCTTCAACTGCTTTTTCAAATGATTTATAATGACTTATAATGGCTGTATCATCAGCAAATTGTATGCCATATATGAATGTGAATGAAGCTGAAATAATTTCAAACAAATTATGAATTCCTCGTCGTTGGTATTCGTAATTGCTATGATAACGGATGAATAATAATAAACATAGTTCTTGATTTTGAATGAATATTTTCCAAACATGGCAACCTCTCGACATTTTAGAGTTCAAGATTACACGTTAAAAGCCATATAGTCAAAAATATTCTAGTGTGAGATTTCAAACATTATCAGCGGTCATTTTGTTTGGATTGAAATGTCTGTGTCCTATAAATAAATACTTGAAAGACATTTCAAATGAAGTATTAATTCCATTCCATTTGGAGTGAAACATTTTTAAAAAAATCCCAGCCGTTCAAAGCTCATCGAGGAGGCTGGGTCACTTTTTTTTATTGATTGTCTTTATTACCCCAAGAAACATAGTTGTTTATAATAGGGATACATAATGTTTTACATACAATTATGAAATAATGATGATATAACAAGTAAAAAAAAATGCAAATAATCATGCAATATCAACCTTGTCTTTTATAAGTATTAATTCAATATTATCTTTATTATTCCCAAGAAACATATATGTTTATAGCAGGGAAAATTATGAAAGAGCAACTAAAAAACAAAAATTAGATAAGTAGGTATTCAAATAAGAAATGGAATTATCAAAGTCTCTGAAGTAGATATTTTTTCAAGTTAATTTTGAATCTAGTTGATTCCTGTATATTCCTCAATTGACTTGGTAATGAGTAGAACGATTCCTGTGTGAAAAATGGATTGTTTGCCGATATTTGACTTATACGTATTTGATATTAGTAAATTTGATTGTCTTGTTCCATGATTATGTAATGAATTGATTTAATTGAAATTTAAATTCGAAATTTTCAATTTGTATAGGACAAATTGAATAAAACAACATATTTCAAGTTTGTATAGATCTAATAAATCTCTACGTTTGTATAAATTCATGGTTGGTTCGAGAAAATTTAAATTGAAAATACACTTCAATGTTTTATTTTGTAATTTCATTAGTGGACTAATTGAAATATTGGTGCTTCCCCATATAGATATTAGGTATGAATGGATTACCGGAAAAACAGTTTGGGTTAGTACTAGGAAATGATTAAAGAATATTTTTCACTGAAACAGGCACACTACGACATCAAAAAGCCCCGTTACCTGAGGTGATTGAATTCGCACTGCTGCTGGTGTGCGCCATTTTGTGCGATCTGGCGTTGTACTCCTCCAACAACCTCACCACCCCTCTGTGTCCCGACTTGGCTGCCACCCTCACGGCATTCCTGCCGCACGCGTCCGAATGGTTCGGATCGGCGCCGTGCTCCAGCAGCGCCACCACGCAGAGTTCGTGGCCTTCTTGAGCTGCGATGCCTGAAAGTAGTCGGAATGCGGAATAATCGGTCGACCGGTTTTCGAAAAAAAAAAACCATTTGTTTAAACATCATCGCCTGCAGTATTGACGAATTGGAACTTTGGTGTACCTTGTGCCTTAGTTCGTAAGGAAGGGGGTAGCCCCAAGCGATTCTATCGCCAGTCATCATAGGTAAAGCAGGGTCCTCTCCTGTAAACAAGGTAGAGGAACGTGTGAAAGTCCTCGAACGATCACTCATTCAACGGGACGAGAGGATTCTTGTCAACATGAGTAGCAATCAGGCCAAAGCCTCTTGCGACGGAGACCCAACAAACGTAACAAGAGGAATCTTGTTGACATGAGTACCTGGGGTGACGAGGATAGCCCCATCAGGTCGTACATACGACCTGATGCCTCACCAATTGGGTTGGACTCCAGGGGGCAGTGGTTTCCAAAAAACACCACCGGACTACGGTAGAGGAGGTGAAGAAGAATCCCACTATGGGTCAAGTGGGAGGATATCTTGCCTGCCTCGGCGGGCGGGTGAGCAGAATTTCTGCTCGGGCACTGACACTGCAGAGCCAGTAGTCTGTTTTATCAGACGGCCTCACCATTGGTATAATAAAATGGTAGCAGGAGAACATGCCGTTAGATAACGGAGATGGCTCTAGCGCGCTGATTTGGCGTATCCAAATCTTCCATTTCTCCCTGTGGTGTGCTGTCGGTCTTGTGAAAGGGGAGTGAGAGTTGGTCTCACCCGTTGCTACTCCGGCAACATTATTGATTGAGTATTGACGAATCAAGATATAAGAGATGCTATTTCGTCCTAGAAATCTTGCATCACGTTGTTTATAATTTAAGCTTATATCTTGGAAAAAATGTGAATGATCTTAAAAATTTGAGAAGCGAAATAGGAGGATAGAAATCAAGAATAAAACATCTCTTTCATTCAACTGCGAAAGCGAAAGTGAACTCATCTTACATTCAAAGAAAAAGACGAAAAAAAAAACAGTCGGTCGACCGTTTTTTTTTGTTCGACGGACTTTGGTTTTTTTTTCTTTGAAGAATTCTGGACCACTTTTTGGAACATGGATGGTTTCCACGACTTGTCATTTTATATGCTTACCTAAAGCAGTAGCTCCCTGATTACAAGTATGATCTGGCAATGCCCCATGCTCCAGAAGCATTTTGACTATATCGCTGTGGCCCTGCCAACTAGCCGAATGCAGGGCCGTCCTATTTTCCAAATCGCAGGCGTCCACTTGGGCTTTACCATACGTCAGCAATAGCGTGACCATTTCCGTGTGGCCTTGCCATGACGAGACATGTAAAGGAGTACGACCCTAGAGGAAATGTAGCAATAAGGAAGATGCATAATTTTCATGAACCAAATGGTGAATAGGGCGAATCAAGACGAGTTGATGTATATACAGGGTGTCCCTGAAAGGTCTGTTCAAAATTTCAAAGCCTATTCCGGAGCAAGCAACTTACCTCAGTCCAAAATTGTTATGTTTCTGAGATATAGGGTGGTAAATAATGGCCATAACATTGTTCCCAGTGTAGTTTCTTACTTCATTCGTTGGGGAAATAATTTTTTGAACATTTTAAGCAAACAGATACCTCTGTGAAAATCAGCTAAAGTAAGGTTGATTTCCAGATTTTCGGTTTTTAATGTTCGATGCAGCACCGGAATATTGAAATTATCCTAAATAAAAAATGTTTGCTGTTATCTTCTTGGATGTACTTTTAGCAGTGCAAAAAATGGATTTCTCAAGACTTTCTTGGAGTCTACACCGCGATTTTTATTTTTTATCTTCACCACCCTGTATCTCGGAAATGGAGCAATTTCGAACTGAGGTAAGTTGCTTTAAATAAGCTTATTTTGACCACAGAAATATGTGCTACGATTTTGTACAGACCTTTCGGAGATTTTTTCTTGTATTATGTGAAATTGCCATATGACTTTGATTGCCTATATTTCAGAAATGATTAATTGTAATTTGCTGAAATTTAGCAGCTACGTTTCTCCATTGAAACTTTTCAAGACGACTTATAGAAAAAAACAGATCCGGACTTGGGGTATATAAATGTTTTATTGATGTCAAAAAAGTTCACTGTGTGATCACTTTTCTCGAAAAATTTCATCGGATCTAGAAAGATCAAACAAAATGTCACTATAGTTTGACAGAATTAGTACTGTCAACATTATTTCAGAAAACAAATGTTACAACTCTTGACATTTTTTTATCACCAACTATCTCATGATCCGACCTTGTATAAATACAGATATTTTAATTGTTACATATAATTTTAGTTTTGAAATCATGATTAGGAATACATTGAATTGAATATTCATTAGGAGTACTTTAAGAAGAAATATTTGAAAGTGGAATGAATCCATTTCAAACGTATTTTGAATAAAAATGAAACAATAATCAGAAATTCAGAGGACGAATATCAAAAAATTTCAAATTCAAAAAATGTTAACTATACAAAAATCACCTCTAAGTCTCTCGTTTCTACGTCTGCTGCATTTTGTATGAAATATTTCGACATTGCTATTCGATTGTCGAGCGCTAGAACATACAAAGTACTTCTTCCGTCCGCATCTTTCGAGTTGATGTCGGCACCATGCGACACCAAAATCTGTACAATGTCATAATGCCCTTCAAGAGCTGCCAACCTGCGGAATGAATTTTAATTTGAGAAAAATTTGTGACATCTGTGCACATTCATATGGAAAGCCGAGTATGTTTAGTGTTCCAGTCAATTCTGAACAATATCGCAAATGCAACCATGGCTCTGATTTTTTGAATAACATTTATTTGAATTCAATGAAGTGAATCAAAAAGAGGTGTTCAACAAGCGTTGGGAGAACAATACTGAAAATGAGATGAAATTTAAAAAAAAAAAACAACTCAAACCATTTTTATATTTTCGGTCGTAACCACCGACATGACCTACTATCTAGACCGCTATACGTCATACATCTCATGTTCTCCAGTTCGATGTCGTGAGTGGCGTAGATTCATTCTTTTGGGCATTAGCGGTCTAGATAGTAGATTATCGGTGATCATAGTGCAACCTTTTGAAAATTTCTTCGAACTTGCTAGCCTGAAAATGCTTTCGTTCAAGGCGCAAAAGGATACAACTGTCATTCATGTCAGTTGGTGTTGAGGAACATGAGTAAAACTAAGATATATTAACGTGCGATATAAATAAATAACAGGTGTTTCAAAGTTCGACCCAGTTTCGGTGTGTTTGCCATTTTGTTATCAAAACAAATGTCAGAAACATAGAGTTAGCCATGGTGGAATAATAATATGGTGTGCTACGACGCATCTTCGTATACGTCTACGTCACTGCCAGTAAAACAATTGCTCCCAGTATGAGCTTGCTGTCATCAATTCGTCCGAGTCGCCGTGATCATTTTGGTGCGAGTATAGACTTGCAATGACCTTATGCGCATTAAAGACGAATTCAAGATACGTGAGTAGCACACCATATTATATTTCCACTATGGAGTTAGCGATCTGTCTTGATCAATTATCTCTAAAACTAGGTTCTTCTTGTTTCTTCAAAGTAGTGTTAGAGTTTATCTCTATAACTCAAACTGAAACAAAGAGAGAACAACATGCATGATAGCACGAGTGATTTTGATGATTCAAATTTTATGATGGAATGCCCAAAGCAAAGTGAAGATAGTATTGAATGTATCAAACTCCGTACTGGAAATGACTGGAACTAACAAATAAAAGAATCAGCAATGTGCATCAACAAATATCCAAATGTTTCGAGAACTAAAAAGTTTCTTCATTACTCAAATCAAAACAATACCTCAATGCAGTCTTTCCATCGTGGGGTCTCTGATCTATCGGTGCATTATACTTGTCTATGAACAAATTAACTAAAGCCGTGTGACCCCCCTGTGATGCTAGCGCCAATGGGGCTTTCCCCTCATTATCAGTCTCATCTATTCTCGCTCCTGCTTCCAATAAAGCTTCACAGACATCTTGATGGCCTGAAAGATTATCACTCGAATTGCATTTCCACATCACTAATTTTTTGCAATCAAAATCAGAATAATAATAGTAATCATATAGCAAGGTACAGAAAACGAACATTTTATGACCCGAGAGAAATAAGGAAGCGAGGAAGAATTTTCACCTAAAATATTCACTTTCTTCTGAATAGTTCATGTTGTCATTGAAAGTCGTTGACAGTTGTCAGATGAGAAACAGTTTGAATGAGAATCAAATTCAAAGCATTACAGAGAGAATTGATGTCTATGTGGGCTTACATTTTTCAGTCTCATCAGTTGGCGTTAATAGAGCGTGAGGTCTAGGTCAGTCAAAAATTTCAAAATCTTGCCTCATAGCCCTGAAGGCTGTAGCCTGTTTTAATGAAAATATTCTGAAAAAATGATGAGGCCTATGTAAACAAATACAAAAACACAATATATGGTAACACTTGATTAGATTTGCGTTTTTTACTCTCAATGTGGAACGTTACGCGCAATTATGACGTTGGCAGAGAAGGAGATGCCGTAAGAAGAGGTCAAATGAGAGGAAAAAAGTAAGTAACTAGTAGGAGTGTCATAGTTATTTGAGCAACTAGTGTATTAATGAGGGCTATTGATCGCCTTCCAATACACTAGTTGGTTACACAATTTTTCCGTCGACAATATGTCTCATTTCCAGTGTAATAAATAAAACTTGGTTGGCGAATTCAACCTTACAACTAAAAATCACCATGTCACTGACATTAGTGACATTTGACATTTGTCTAAATAATCAACATAGAGAATGAATTCCTTGTGTTACAAAAAGGTATTGAAGAAATCGATTCAGAAACTTGAGGTAAAATCATTGATGAAATCCATATTATCGATTTAAATGCAGATTCCATACGTTATAGCACAATAATATACAGTGAATGGTCGCGATGTATGTTTGGTTGCCTAACCCCTATGCTACAATCATGCATTGATAGACCAATTGATCTTTAATAAGGGTCATTACCGATCAATTTTATAAACATTAAACTTACTCGTTGAGTTCGACGGAAATAGTTATTTTACCAACTAGTGTATTAATGAGGATGATTAGAGATCAAGATATTTTAACGTGAGAGTGAAGCGAGAGCGTTAATGTTCGAGATCATTTATCGCATTTTAATATACCAGTTGGTTGAAAAAAATTTCCGTCGACTATATTTCTCATTTCTCCTGCAATGAAGAAAACTTGTTCCGTGAATTCATCATTCATCCTTACTACTAAAAATCACCTGGTCAACTTGTCACAGATATTAGTGAAATTCGACATTTGTCGAAATAATCAACATGGAAAATAACTTCCTTTTGTTAGAAAACAGAGATTGAAATCGGTTCATAAACTTGAGAAGGCTAACCCGTTAACGTGAAATCTTCGATGAAATCCATATTTTCGATATAAATGCAGATTCCATAAGTTATAGCATAAACAGTGAATGGACGCGGTGTATGTTTGGTTGCCTATAGTACAATCATGCATTAATAGACAAATTCATCATTAATAGGGATCATTAACTTACTCTTTAAAACGAGGTCGACGAAAAAGTTCCGTGGGAAACGTGATTTATTGTATAATAATAACCACAACTGTAACACAATGAAGTCATTGTTTTATCAAGCAAAAAAATGCAATGAGAATGAGCATTTTAGTGTTACACCCGTAGAAAATAGTATATTGTTTACCGAGCACGGAATGATAGTGAATTTCTAAGAGAATGAAGTTTGCGGGCCTTAGGCGAATTCTGCAATCATTCGAGTAGGAAATTAGCATTCCGTGCAATTATACACTATAATTTATATCCGTCTATCATAGATAACAGCGGCATTTTCGATTTCTTCGTCTTATAGCCATCTGATTTCCTGTCAATTAACGCTCATCTATTAGACAGAGCGGTAATTGCTTCACATTTGACATTCCATGAGCGATGAGATTTTTTTGAAATAACACAATGGATTCATTGTTATATCAGATACAGAAATAATATTATTGATGACATACAAAGTACCTCATTGACATATCGAACACAGTAAAACAAGAACAATTTTGTGTTATAGCCGTAGAAAAATTTGTTTCTGGCACTGGATCACTGTCAAAACTCACCTTCAAAGGCTGAATAATGGAGTGGTGTCCAGCCTGAATTATCTCGATGTTGCTCGTCAAGGCCTCTGTCTAAGAGCTGCTTAACAACTTCCACACACCCTGAAGACACAATGCAAATAACAATATACAGTTTTTCGAATATTTATATACATTTTTATTCAGCGTAAATTCTACCATTCCATGTACCTTGTGCTGCAGCAACGGACAAAACAGTGCGACCTTCTGAATCCATCGAGTCTATACAGCAGCCCCAGAACAGTAGGAGAGCTACCACAGGGGCATGACCCATGCTTGCGGCAGCCCATAAAGGGCTTCTGCCACCGTTGTCGCAATGGTCGACGTCCGCTTCGTTTTCTAAAAGCAGTTCACAAACGTCCCTGAAACACAAAATGAGAAACATACTAATTAACACAAATCGAAGCTCTCACAGCTGAAACATCTAGGATGCACAGGGTTGCCCTAAATGTCAGCAAGAGCGAGAGCCACCGACCTCGATTGAGGTGCTTCAGTCCAAAGTGTTCTGATTGGGGTGCTCTGTGCAGACTTTCTTACTAACTCCATCATCATCCAGGACTATTCAAGCCGATGTCCCGAAACTTAACAATATTCAATTCTTGAATTGAATATTACAAACATTCCTTGCCCTGGGTGGGATTCGATATCACGACCTCGCGTACATAAGTCGGGCACTCTTCCATTACACCAATCCCATCTTCACATACATGAAGATTTAATAATGATATCACCCTCTACTTTTTGTTTTTTGCACCATCAATACTGAATATAAAAACTTCACAAACGATCAGATTTCCACAAAATTCTCAAACACAGGACATGTTTCGCTAACACAGTAGCTTCGTCTGCCTTTGTGGAAGAATATGAAACGGTCCTAGATTAGTTTCCGATACTAATTGATCTTTGGGAAGCATGTTGAGAATGACTGGATTTTAATATCTAGAGATGCGATGATACAACCATACTCTAAACATTCACTTAAATATATATTTTCAGTAGCCGTGCGGGCAGAGTGTCCATATTCTAATCCGCATTCGCTTGCCGGTCGTGGGTTCGATTCCCGTCGACTGCAGAAATTTTTCTGGTGGCCCATGAAAGTGTTTGGGATCACACGTTAAAAGGTAAGGCCCCCGTCATTCCTTGTTCGCACAAGACTCTCGAAGACTTCTGAGGGTTGCTCGTAAGGGGGCAACCGAATGACGGATAGAACAATTTTAGAAATTTTTTTTTTAGTACGTAATATCCTATGGGAATATATTATTTCATTTTTTCACCTTGCTATCAGAATGAAACATTTTTGTTAGTATCCTATATTATCAAATATTCGATTATAACCCCTGGTGACACGTCATCAGTTCTATTCAACTACCAAATACAATACAATAACAATACAGCGATGCATCCTCCTTCTGACAGACAGAGTCTGGTATTTTTATGACAAATGAGATCCCACAAGTGACAGATGGGTATAAACAAATGATTTATGTATTATTCAAATCACAGTGCACTGTTGATATTTGCTGGTTGTATGAGGTTTCCAAAATTGTGGAAAAACATTGTTATTCCACCTATTTCCGGAGAATCCCACATTGTAATGATAGACAACTTGAGGCAAGTGAAATATGAGTAAAGAGAAGCCAGAGATGAGTACCGATATGAGTAAAGTCAGTTGATTTACGAGATAAGACAAGTGATATATGGTTATAAAACAAATTTACGGCGCGCAGTTGATATTTGCTGATTGAATGACGTAATTTAATTATCAGTGTGAAAACCAGCTACGAGTTTCAGCCACGACTTCGCCAATTATTTGAGGCGCGCGCCATACCACCAATGGTCGTTTATTACTAATTTATACTCGTGGCTGGCCATGAAATTACTAAAACCTCAAAAATATGTCCGTGGATGAAACTATTTTCCATCAATGTATTCCTCTGAGGGACCTTAATAATCTGTATATTATCTCTCAATACTTTGTCGGGCAAGAATTAACCCCACAGGCACCCTTGTTTGGAATTTCGAAAATAAATCATAACTTTTTCAAAATATATGTGGATGGAAATTATTTGTTCTATGAATGTGTTCCTCTGATGGTACTTGATATATGTATATCTCACAATATTTTGTTGGACAAGAATTAACCCCACAGGCCCCTTTTTTTGGAATTTCGAAAAAAAAATCATGTATTTCAAAATACACGTGGATGGGAGTTTCTTTTATTCCACCAATATTCAATTTTTTTTTATTTATCAAACATATCTTCCAGTCAGAACAAGTTCTGGTATGAGGAAGAACATGATTATAAAATAATAAGTTATAAATATCTAGGAGTTACTAAGCAAACATGAGTAAAGGTAGAAGTGAACATAAATAATAAATTATAATAAGTCAGGATATCACAATAAATCACAATAAAACAAAAGAATCAATGAACAAAGAAAAGAATTCTAGTCAAGGACAACTTACTGATAAATTTTAAACATTTCTCTCAGAAATGATCAGTTTTTTTATTTTCTTTTTAAATGTTCCTATATTCCTCCAGTTTTTAATTGCATCTAGTAGTTTATTGATCTCAGATAAGGTTGCATGAATCTTTTTTGTCCGAGTGTAGAACTAGCAGCATCAAGGTGAAATAAGTTATATTGTCTAGTTTGATGAGTATGAATTTCATAATTTCTTGTCAAAATAATATTAGACTTCAATTTTATATTCATGATATATGAAATCTTCAGAGTCTCTAATCTGTACAGTTCTTCTAAAGAATATGTTTTTGTTAAGGCATACAGTTCAGTTGTGGGTGTATCATATGGAAGACGATACAGTACTCTTAATGATTTCTTATATAATCTTTATTTCATTATCGATACAGTCCACTATCTATCAAGCATCGAACATGTTGGTCCTTCGAGCCGGATCTATTCAAATTAAACCTTCAAGGCTGCAAAGTTCTTCACGAAGTTTACAGAGCATTACTCAAGACAACCTTGAGAATGAAAGCGTGTTCTTTTTTGGTTTTTCAAAACTACCACTCATTTACCTGTGACCCTCGAAGGAGGCGACCAACAGCGGCGTCATCCCCTCCTTGTCCTTGTGGTCGACTGAAGCCCCGCGCTCCAACAGCGTCGCCACGACGCCGGCGCCGGGCGTCCTCGGCGCGCACAACGCCGCCACGGCCAGCGCAGTCCTGCCGTCGGCGTCGGCGTGATCGACGTCGGCGCCGTGGTCCAGCAGACGTTCGACGATCTCCGAGTGGCCCATGTAGGCGGCGGCGATGAGCGCCGTGCGGCCCTCGTGGTCGGTCAGGTTGGCGTCGGCGCCGTGACGGAGCAGCACCTTCATAATAATTGTAATAACACTCTAATATTGAATAAATACAAAAAACTCAAAGTCATATCCAGACAATAATGTTCATAAAATGAAAAAACAATGGTAGATTTCGGGAGAAAAACAACTACTTTCCTGGCTAATGCCACGCAGAACATTGAATTACATCCTCCCGAAATCTATGCATCGACTCGTATAAACGAATACTGATACAAGTGATTCTTTCCTGAATGCCAATTGATTTCGATTTAGTCAGGTCACGCTAGACACCCACGGACCGGTTTAGAGCTCTTTGACTCTCATCAGTGCAGGGCAGTCTCCAGGCAGCAGTCCTAAGACCGCTGACTAAGCGTAGCCTAGCCAAACAAAACTCAAGTAGGCACGTAGGTATTGATATATAACATAACATAAGATAGTCGGTTCATACAATGTGATCTATACAATATCTCGTCCTCCTCACTCCTGAGATAATAGGGTCTAATATTCGAAAAGTGAGCGGTTTCTTCTCTTTATTCTGTTCACTGATCGTTGTTGTGGATTGCCAAATCTTATTGATTTCAAAATAGTTAACAGCTCTATCTTGGAACCAATTACTCTACCAGTCAGCTGAATTTGAACATAAAATTGCAGACCAAGAATTGTTAAAGCGATAACCGATTTCTCACATAATTCATCATCAGCAAAGGTAAGCATTCTTTGTTTTTCATAAAAGTATTCCACGATGTTTCCATCATGAAACTCATATGACAATGCTTTCTCCCATTTCTTCAGAAAGTGTTCATCAAACGTATTATTTGAGAGATATACATATTCATATGAGTTCAACCACAATTTTTGTATCTTCATCAATACCATTGAATTGTTCAATTTTTGACTGTTCTGTCTTCTTTGACAAGATTGTCATCCATTTTGTCATCAAATGATCGAGTTCATCTTCACCCAACATAATGTTTTGATGATTATCTCGGTCTCCAGATCCGACTGCATGTTAGTAATCAATTCGTGTGAATTCCGATTCTATAACTCCGTCCGACTGCGCCATTATAATAACACTCTAATATGTTCAAGTTTCAAGTATTGATATATTACTATTATTATTCATATTCATGACAACAACAAAAGATAGTCGTTTCATAAAATGTGTTCCATACAATGATAATTGAAATAATAATAATATTTGATAGCAGTCCATAGTTTCTCAAAGTGGAGTGAAGTAGTATCTACTAAATGATACTCAGTCATTTCCACGACATTTCAATTTGCTTCTTGTTTCAACTCGTTATCACATGACGGAAGTATGTCCGGAATAACTGAGAGGTGGCATAATTCTTGTGTTATTAAATTGCGAAGTGCAATTTTTGCTCAGGATAGTGATTGGCACAGGTGCCGTTCGATGAATTACAATGTTTTTACATGCCTTTGGGACATACAGTATGGTGGAAATGTATGGAATAAATTAATCATGTCTAACGCATAAGAAGAGACAGTTCGATTTTTATTTTTAAATTGACACCTGTTGATATACATACGGAGTTTGTAACGTCATCCGCGTAGTTGTAGTGACGGCATCGATAACTTTTTAAATGGAAACATCCCCTTTTTATTTTTTCTTTCGGAAGGTATATTCATTGTCTATCCAACCATATAATGATATTAGCAAAATAAAGTAATACAGGTTGAGAAGAAATTATTAATTATTTTAAATTTACAATGGAAACAATTAATATAAATGAAAAATTCGACCTGTATACATCAGAAACAATGTATATCGTGATTGATGAGGCTTGAGGGGACATTTGTGACATTAAATAAAATTATTCAGCATATTCTCTATTAAGATGAGGCTCACAGAAAGAGAAAGAATTGAAATTCTGATTATGATTGGATATGCAGATAGAATGCGAACACAAGAGATTTATTCAATAATAAGTATCCAAATTGGGAACGAATGTCTCTCAGTCCGTTGTAAGCAAAGTAGAGAAAAGGTTCAGAGATACTGGAAGTGTCATATGACGGTCTGCAGCCGGCTCTTGGACTTGCAATAGTATATATAATTTTTCACTTTAGTTATATAACAGAATGAAAATCATAACTTGTCAGTCACTATTTTATCAAATTAATTCGTCCCCTTATAAAACGTTTCTATTTTCTTGGAAAGTTGCAGATTATATCTTGCAACAGCGCATAATACTTTGAGCCTGACCACACCACTCCACAATACACAAAATATATTGAAATGAAATTCTTCACTGAAATAGGTCCATTACCTTGACTATTTCCTCGTGACCAGACCAGGCAGCTGCACGCAAAGCTGTGCGGTTCTCCGCGTCGACGCTGTCCAAAGAGCAGTTATGTTGCACGAGTATTTCGACGACCTAAAGCATGAGAATGATTCCAGGGTTATTATAAATCTATAGGGACATGGTAACAGCATAACCGCCATCTTGAATTCTTGAAATTCCTTTTTGATGACGTCACATGAGGGCAAAACAGAATAGCCAACCTAGGAATATATTGGGCTTTTTCGGTTGTGTTCACTCAACTTGTTGAATCTTGCGTTGAACACAGAAAACAATAGAAAAAAGTCAACTCCAGCAAGGTGCGTTCCAGAGCACACCCTTACACCCGTATGAGGTGTGACGTCACGCATTCATGGTGCGAATGGTTCGTTCCGAGCTCTTGGAACGGCTCGTGGGCGAATTTGGGAATCGGCGTCACAGTGACATCGTAACTCCAATGGACTGAAGAAAAAGGCACTCACGTTCTTGTGACTAATGCGGATGGATTTGTTGAGAATGATGAAACAGATGAAAATTGGTTAGTCATGGACTCCTCAATAATTGCCTCAATAACACTTTCTTGGAAATTGTTTTCTGGTTGCACCTGGTTCGATGTGGAGGCGCATATAAAACAAATATAACAGACGTCGATATGCCCTCATGCCATTAAACCACCATTGAACTGTCAGGTCAATTGCTTTCAATAGTGACAATTATTCCTTTATTCATTTATTTACTTAGTACACAGAATAATTCCAATTACAAACTAAGAAATACAGGAATATAAGTAAACAAGAATAATAATTAACAACTATTGCCTGATACAAAAAAAGTAAGATAATCTGCTGGATTGTTGTATGAAAAATTTCAAAAGCTGTGCAATGATCATTATTATTTTCACAGCATCTTTATACTGGAGAGATTCTACATATGTTCATGCGAGGAGTTGGCAAGTAAAAGATTCGATTCACTCGGGACGCCATTCTTGGAACGTGAAATTGAATTCTTTGAGTCAAATAATGGAAGTCAGATAAGTTATTGATTGTTTTGAAAAGGATTACATTTGAATGGTACTCTCTTCAAGTTTGTAGACTGCTGAATTAATGTCTCAAGTACATTTTCATAAGAAACGCCAATTTCTGGATATTCTCTATCTATTTTGAAAGTAGTTTCAAGAAGAGCCGCTGCATCGATTCAAGGCTGTCGATGTGAGTTTTATTATGAGAATTCGCCTATCGTTTAGGTGAATTAGCGACTCTGCTTGACACACGGATTATGTCTGAACTCATTGTACAGATTACTAGTTTCATATAGAATTACAGATCTCATCCCATTGCGTGTTATCGCTCCAGAAATGTTTGTTTATCCTCCCAATTGACAAGGTCTTCGGCGATGAGACCCGACTAGATCCGAAGTTTTTTTCCGTCAGTAAATCCTCAACAACGAGTTTGGCACCATTATGTTATTGAGTTATTCACAGGGCGTTAAAATCTGATTCTCTGTCTGGGTGCTAAAATGCCATTCACATATTTTTGACATTTCAGATGATATTTAGGTAAGTTATATTAGTCAGTTGAACAGTTGATTGATGTTTATCATACAGGGTTTGGAAAAATTCTGAATTGAGAAAACCCAATCACGAATATAAGAATTTGAAAATAATATATAGGATGAAATATGGGATTTAACAAAAATCTCTTTAGATCATAACTTTTCAACAGCTTCTTTGATTCGTCTGATTTTTGTACATAGTTTTGCTGACAACACATAGACAAAAAAAAAACAAAATGGCGGCTCCAAGATGTCCGACAAGTTTGGGAGTATGATCCGATTCTATTCAAAATTGGTATCTATAATAGGGATTTTCGGGGTCGAATATTATGATTCTTTCGTCAAAATTTGGTAATTCAAGATGGTGGCTCAAATATGGCGGATTTGTTTGGTAATTCTGATCCAATTTTATTCGAAATTGGTATGTGGCGGTTTTGGGGGTCTTCAAAATATAAAGGTCTTATAATAATACCTCAGTATGGCCGCCCCAAGCAGCTGCTCTGAGAGGAGTCCATCCGTCAACGTCAGCTTGATCAGAATTCGCTCCTGCTTCCAAAAGTACCTGAAATAATAACAGAAAAAGTGATAGAAAGTTGTCAGATATATAATCATATAACAGATGGGAGGTTCTGAAAAAAACATTACTAGATATGAAAAAAATCCACATTCACATTTTCATCATCAAATAAATAAAAATTAAGGAGCTTTATTGGATACCCAAAAGGCCTCCGACCAAGGTCCTTCAGCCTGTGTTTTCCTGAAACTTCCGTCTTGGGTTCACTGTTGGATCTCTGTGTAAACACTGGAAGTGGATAATTTGGAGATTGGATTCGTTTTTGGAAAACTTCAAGGTTAGCTTTTTCAGTCTCTCAAAAATTAGTTGCACCCTGGTCAGCCGATATAGAAGTTCGTTTGATGGATGGTGAAGGGGATTTTTAGGGTGCCGGATTTTGGTAATAGCTCTCAGGCTAACTCTTTATGCTACTTCCAAATTGTTCAGTGCCGTCTTCCTAGTGTTTATGTAAATTGGGTGAGCATACTCAAGAATTGGGCGGCAAATGGTTTTGTTAATATGTGCTGCGGTTCTTTCGCTAATTCCTTTATTCTTGTAAGTTAGGCTTCGAAAATGTTTAGCTCTTGTGATGCACTTTTTTTTCATCAACTGGGTACGATGGTTAAAGCTTAGTTTTTGATCTAAGTGCACTAACTAGTTCTCACTACATGATTGTTCACAGTTACCGTGGGTGAATCATCTGATATTTTTTGATTATCAAATTCGTGTTTTTGAGACAAAAATACGTAGATACCAAAAACATTTTTCGAAAAAAAAAAACATCACATGATAGGTGTAAAATTTCCCAGATTAATCCTGATTCGAAAATGATAAGGTATACATTTTTCCTACCTTGACGACCTGTGTTTGTCCTAACCTAGCGGCCACGTGTAGAGCTGCTTGTCCATGTAGATCATGCACATCGAATAGGGGCTCTGGACTCTGCTCGCTGGATGTGCTAGCTAATGACATCTGGCAAACAGACAAAAACAATGAGAATCCCAAATGGAAATAAAATTAAGAACCTATCCTAAAAAATTGCAATGTGTGCACAATATTCTGAAAGATATAAATAGGATGTAGAAACTACAAACTGGAATGTTTAATGACGCTAACTAATTTAAACATTGAATGAAATGACACATGCATTCCTGAGAAGGTGAATCAACTGATTAAGAGACGAAAAACTACCTACCAGTCGATAGGTGTATCACAGTCAAATATCGGGATGTAACTGTTCAGAACATATTTGTATGAATGCATTTTTGTTGGAATAGCAATGAATAATTTCAATGTTGTATTTAATTGGATGCAAACAACTTTATGTAAGATATTTGCATAAAATGACTGTGCTATCGGTACTCGATCTCTTATGTAATTGGGGCATTTGGCAGAAGTAAAGTTAATTAAAAATAAATGTCAACTAAATACAAAATTGTGATATTATCAATATACCTACCAGAGAATTATGGATGAATGCAAGAGACAACCAATTGGACAGATTGTAGGTATTTATGATGTCCATGGGTACTTCCGGTAAGTACATTGAATTTGAAATTTCTGTGAATACACGAATTTAAATACCAAAACAATGCGTGTGAGATTGCATTGCTCAAAACTAGAAACAATTATTAAAATACGTCGAACCTATTTTATCAAACAATTCATCCACTAGGACTTCAACTTTAGCTCCTAGACACTAAAAGTGTTGCCTAGCAACATACATAATAATCCTTTTATTGTGTCTGTAAGAGGACCATTAACTTCAAGAGTTAATTTCGGAACAAAAATGGACGACCTTTGAGCCGATTGCAGAAAAAGGAAATTTTTTATACTTGCTACCCAGCAAATTTCCAAACCCGACCTCGAATGATTCAGAAGTTACAGCATTAATCGTTTTTTGTGCAATTCTCTGTATAAGTGCAATATAATATCCATAACGTCTCTTATTAATACCATAAATCATAAATAATTATTATAGAGACAGTTATAATAATAGTCCATTTCAATTAAACAACAGGCTGATAAAAAGTGATATAACTCAATTATAAGTAAATAAAGTTTGCATCATTGGGATAGTTCTGCTTGGTGGTAAATATTTACAGATTACCATTGGCCTTCCATAGATGTGAATGACTTTTGATCAATGGAAGATTACAGAGGCTGATAACAGTGAAGTTATTATGATGTTAAGAGCAAGAAAAAGTATTCAATCAGCCACAAATTCATTAAAACAAAATTATAAATCGACAGTTAATTTTCGTAGAGTTTTTGTTTTTCGTACTTCCCGGTCTAGGTCAGAAAAAAACTAATTTCTCAATAGAACATTTGTATAGTAAATTAAATGTTGATTGCTATTTCAGAAAAATAGTATCCGTACCCACCTCCTAGAAAAAATACATTCCCAGTATACAATGTCGTCCGGGCATGTATTGCTTTTACTACCAAAGATAAAATATTGGTTGCACTGCAAAGCTAGAAGTGGAAAAAAAATCGCAATATTGAAAACTAACATTTGTTTCAAAATTTCATGAAATCCTTAACCCTTTATCGGTCCGCTTCAAATGTGACCATATGGTCATATTATTTTCAAAAGCGTTTATTCTTAATTCCATGTAGTTGTTCGATTCATAGGCAATGAAACTAGTTGGTGACGAACAAACTTTTTATGATTTGTGTTCGTCAATTTTTAAGATTGACTTGCGTACATGTGTAAATGTTTATGTTCAGTAGTGTTAAGTTCGATTGTTCTTATTGGAATTTCGGTGTTGCCTCCTTTCTATCTGTATCTATATCTGTTATGGTATATTCTTTTTTGTTCACCAGTATATTAATTTCAATGAGATAATTTTTTGTCTTTGAATAGGCGTAGCCACATGGTTACTTCGTCCATTATTTCGCATTTTGTTTCAGTGGATTTTTCGAAAAATTCATAGTATGGATGAATTTATTGCAAATCCTACTTCCACATTCTATGGTATTTGAAGGAATGTAGTCTACCACCCTCTCCTCAAGTCTCAGATGGATCACACAATGATATTATAAGGAAAATATGACTCATACAAACTTGTGTCCTAATTTTTTTCGTTTTTGAATATAGATATGGAAAAGACTGTACTGCTTAGCTCGATGCTTCAGGTTAGATATCATCGCAGGTTTGTCCCGATGTGGTAAGGAATCCAGAAGAAAGGGCATTCCGAGAAGCATTCAATTTATTATACTGTAGAATCACCAATCATTCAACGTCAATTCGCCTGAAGAGTGAGAAATATGAAAGTAGGTTATTTCTCACTGACACGAAAAATTGTTCCAAAGCCTTTCATTTAAATAAAGGAAATACTGCCGTTCGAAATTTAAAAAAAATATATTTTCAATTTTATTAATAAATGAAAATGTAATTTGAGTTATTTTACTGGAATATGTAACCATATGGTAACAATATGTAAAATCGTAACAGATATAATTATCAACATAGAACTACTGTATTTATCATACGACACAGATTCAGAATATGCTGTGAAAGTACTTTCGTTAGGCCATTTTGATGTCTTGTCCGATAAGTGGTATAAAAAATTGTAACCATATGGTCACTCAAGCCGATAAAGGGTTAGAAGTTCAAAAATGAGTGGAAACAGTCTAGAGTGAAAATCGAAGACATTCTACAAAATAAGTATTAATCATGAGAATTGAATGCCCATTGCAGGTTACAGGTTCCTACGTATAAAAGAAGTTTATCAAGACTGATAAGAAAGAAGTGATGACTGTACGATCAATAAAATGACAGAAAATATTATAATCTTCATGTATGTTTGAGTTAACGAAGTTTACCCTATTCAAATAATGAACTTTTTTCTGTTTCATTCAGTTATAAAGAGCACATTTTCAAAATGAAGCAGGAAGTGGACTGTAGAGTAGTAGAGAACACCAAGAGTTTCCAGATAAAAGATAAAAATACTACTGTTGGCCACCGATAAAGAGATGGTCATTGCATGTTAATATCACTGATTATTTTATGATGATTTGAATTATTTTCTGAACATCTGGCCACACTCATTTGTTTTGTACATTCGATATCACAAGATATAATTCACGCGAGAGAGAATTCATGATGTGAACATTTATTTAAATGCATACAAGAAATCGCATCATATTGCAATTTTCATTTTCATTGTGTTGACTAACTGAACTTCAAATCCTTGTTCATTGTTTGGATAATCTATTCGTTTGATCTAGTTAGAACAGAAGGCATTAAATAATTAGAGAATAAATTATAAAGTCAAATTTCTACAATTAATTAACCATCTCCATTGGATATCACGCCATTTATTTGAGAGCGAGAACACATTGAAAATCAGGCAATTCGCCTGATAAATGTAGGAACCGAAAACCTACTGATATGTTTAATAATTGTACAAGGCGCGTCTCTGAAAACTGACCCCCTCTGAACTCATTCATTTTTAGATATACAGGGTGTATCTAAATAACATCGAAAAAATTCAAGGGGTTATTCCTTGTGATATTTTAGTAAACAAAGTTCATATAAACACGTGTCCTAACTTGTTTCGTTTTCAGAATACAGGGTATGAATATTTCTATTCATTTCACAATAATTGTCTTTTCATCAATTTCAAACACCCCTTGAATTTTTTCGGTTTTATTCAGACACACCCTGTTTGAATGAATGTTGAATAAAAAAGTTGTTTGAAACTACTCAACCTGTTTTTTGTGTAGTTGTTTCATATACAGGGACATTAGTTTTTCCGGAAAGGACATCAACTATGATTTTTCAAATGGAACACCCTATATCGCGATCTGGCAGAGTTCGATTTCTCTGTTGTCTTGAGAGATACAAGAAAAAGTCATGAATCGAAATTGAAGTAATAATCGAGCTCCACATTTCAAAATTTCTTTGAAATACACAGGGTGTTCCGTAAGGTCACAGCATATCGAAGCTAGGCTATATTTTATTTCATTTTTGAATTCTCCCTGAAAATCTGATTTCAACGACGTATCATACTTAGGGTCTAGCAGTGAAAGTTACTGACATATAGGGTGTGCAAAATCGAGATTTTCCAAGTTCAGGATTTTTTTCTGTCGAAACTGTTCATTATTCGTCAAAACGGTTTACATGTCCCTATCTCAACTTTTCACTCACTATCAATTGGAGTTCAATTGACATTTAATTGAAACAAATTATAAATTAAGATTTTTTGACCACCTTGTATCAATTTCAATTGAACACCAATTGAGTGAAAAGTTGAGATAGGGACATGTAAACCGTTTTGACGAATAATGAACAGTTTCGACAGAAAAAAATTCTGAACTTGGAAAATCTCGATTTTGCACACCCTATATGTCAGTAACTTTCACTGCTAGACCCTAAGTATGATACGTCGTTGAAATCAGATCTTCAGGGAGAATTCAAAAATGAAATAAAATATAGGGTGTTCCAATTAAAAAAAACTAGCTTTGATGTGCTGTGACCTTACGGAACACCCTGTGTATTTCAGAGAAATTTTGAAATGTGAAGCTCGATTATTACTTCAATTTTGATGTATGACTTTTTTTTGTATCTCTCAAGACAACAGAGAAATCGAACTCTGGAGTCTTAGTTGGCCACCCTGTACAATCAAAATATATTATAAAACGAGGAAGAAATGCTCAAAGTCGTCTCCATCGTTTATTTGTGGAGATGAATATGAGCAGTCCTTCCTCATTTTGAAATATTTCCACACTACTTCGAGGAATATGGACTTCAACCAAAGATCAAAATACAGGGTATGTCACGACGATCTTACACTATCTCTATATCGAGAATAAGTCGGGAGAAATCCATGAAAGTAAGCATGCTTATATTTCAGAATACGCTCTCTTCATTTGAAATATTTTCAGCAATGCAGTGTTGCCGCTTCTATCAAAAAGTAGCAACAACTTTGTTATAGAACACCCTGTATTTTATTCCATTTTTTTATTCTCCCTGAAGAGCTGATTTCATCGATAAATCACACTTAGGGTCTATCGGAAATGATTACGGAGATATAGGGTGTTCAAAATCGAGATTTTTGTGTCGAAACTATTTATTATCGGCCAAAACGGCTCACATGTCCCTATCTCAACTTTTGATTTACTATCAACTGATATTTAATCGGAACAGATACAGGGTGATCAGAATTCTGAATCTTGAACCACCCTGTATCTATTCCGATTAAATATCAGTTGATAGTGAATCAATAGTTAAAATTGGGACATGTGTGCCATTTGACCGAATGAATAGTTTCGACACACAAAAGTCCTAAAGTTGAAAAATAACGATTTTGAACACCCTTTATCTCTGTAATATTTTTCGATAGACCCCAAGTGTGATACATACATGACAGGGAGAATCTAAAATTGCGATAAATTACAGGGTGTTCCGTTTGAAATATCAATGTTGATACTACTTTCTAGTAGAAGCGGCAACACTGTATGGTCGAAAATATTTCAAATGCAGAGAGTGCATTCTGAAATATAAGCATGCACATTTTCATGGATTTCCCCAGACTGATTCTCGATATAAAGATAGTGTAAGTTCGTCGTGACATACCCTGTATGTGAGCCCACATTCAGTTTTCCTTGCCATATTGAACATCCAATATCAGTATAATCTATCCAAAGTTGGAGCATCTCCAGCAAATGAAAAGTAGATTGAAAAACTAAAGAACATGCTTTCATAGATGGCCAAACTAAAAGAGAAGTAGAAAATAAAATAATGAAAGTGTGTTGATAAATACACAACATGAAATATACTGATTAAGAAGGTGCTAATATTTTTAAAAAATCGGATCATATAATAACAAAACTCGTCCGCCATATTGGATCCGCCATCTTTAATTTCCAAATTTTGACGAAAGAATCATAATCTCCGACTCCGAAAACCACCAGATAACAATTTTGAATGGAATTGTATCATAATAACAAAACTCATCCGCCATTTTGTTTTTTTTTATAATCATTTCGAATCAATCGGTCCGTTTGAAATGGGTCAAAATCGAAAATTCTTGATGCACTACTAAAATTTCTGCAATATTTTCATACTATATTCTTTTTTGTTTCAATGACATTTCTGTTGTATGCACAGCCACCTAAATATTATTGGCAACTTTGATTCAATGATAAATAAGTGAAAAATGGCTTGAGAAACATTAGCAAACTATTTGTATTTGTGAACAGAAGAAAAAGATATTTCTCTAGAGTTGAAAATATACACGGTGTGTGGGAGAGGTTGTCATCACCATGTCATGTTGCTACAGAATCTTTTGCAAGATCAAACCACTGGAATTGTTTGAAAAACCGGATTTTCAGAGCGTCGTTCTCACTTTGTGAAAGATTTTTAGAAGATAATTTCAAGGCAGATGAAATAGACTGAAGAAATATACAGGATGTCGTCTAAATAAGAGAAGAAGGACTTATATTGAATATTTGTTGATCAGCAATAGATTCTGTAGCAACTTGACATGGTGATGACAACCTACATGCTTTGATCGCCAGAAAACTTCTCAATCTGTTTCGAAATTTTCTTGCTCGTCAAAAAAAGATTTTTTTTTCATTTCCCGATTTTTTGTTGTTTGAGGACTACCCTGTGTATAAGAATAGGTTGATCATGCATCATTTCAAGATTTTTGTCCTCCGTTCTATCCAGATTGACAGGAACACAAAGCCAATAGAAATTAGAGCATCAAATCATGCATTATCTTAATAAAACATTCATATTTCATTAACGCGGGTGACAATTCCAAAAATTTTTTTACAGTATCGAGAAAACATATAAAGCAATATTTTTTTGACCCCAAAAAGAAATAGAAAAATTTTTCTTTCAAACGGGAGGCGTTTGAAATTTTTGGAAAAATGCACAGCTTTGATTACCATCCTGTAGAATCTCATCCGGAAAAGATGAAATAGTCATATCCATAGGTTCGATAGTCAATGAAACGAGATTTCAGAAATTGAAAAATAATTGAAAATCGGTTGAGGAAATCGAAAGTTATGATGATTCAAATTTGATCGAAAAAATGCGATTTCACGATTCATATGTTGAGCAGTTTATTTAAAAATGATAAGCCCAGAATGATATTTCATTCAGATTTGGCAACAACGCATCGTTCGGGTATATTTGGAGATAGTGGGCGAATCGAAAATTGGGTGAACCTACCCCATTTGACTGGATAAACTATAATAGAAACACCAAATCTACAGTGATAGTTACCTGACTCTCGTAGTCACATCCATCGACATCAACTTCCTCCACTGCTCCAGCTTCCAGAAGCAACTTCAGCACCTTCGGATCGGTAGGCAGAAAAGCACCAAAATTCACCCCGGTTATCTCGTTGCCTTCCAGAAGACATTCCTCGACGTTACATCCGCTGTTGATCAGCCAAAGAACTATAAGAGTGTGGACATCCAAAACACCTCTTTCAGAAGGATCTTGGACAGGAGCGGAACTAGAGGAATTCAGATTGTTCTGAAGTGCATTGCTTTCCGTATGTCCCACGATAGGTGGCTTATGTGGCCTTAGCTTCTTATTTTTCTTTATTTCCGCATAGATAGGATTTTTCTCCGAGACTGGGCTCTTGATGTTGACACTTTCAAGCTTCGCCTCGGTCCTAGATAAATCTAATTCTAGATTAAATGGACTGTCATCCAAATTATTCTGGCTATTCTCGGTTTCCACAAAACTAGTTTCCAGGTTACCCATCTCTAAGCTGAGCTCTTTCTCGTAGTTCTTCGTCAATTCTTGTAACGCCTTCAAATCAGAATATATTTCCGTTGAAGTTTTTTCCAAGCTGTTCTCCCCTTGGGAAATGCTATTGCTCTTTTCCTGTGATAACTTGTACATGAGTGTAGGGCACTTCTGGGAGGGTTTTTCGTTCAAGTATTGCTCCATTCGGGTGAGATGAAACACGTAATCATAAATCTCTTGATTATTCAAAGCTTTGGCGTGAAGGGTGTAATACATTGCTAAAATACAGTGCCCGTGGAAAATATTGCATAAATACTTTTGCGTACAATGCTTAATATCTAACAGCCATTCGGCAAAGGAGTGATGGAATAATCTTATTGCTCCTCCTTTGGATATCACGATTATCCTATTCATGAGATGAAATCTTTTTCTAAAGTCCTCAATGGTGATTTTAGGATTATAAACTCTTACTATATCAAAAAGTAGCGTTTCATTCAGAGCGCATTTAGCTGCAAGAATAATATTCAACAGTGGTTGTACTTTGGCAAACTGTCTGCGATTGAACAGCCTCTGGCACAACCATAAATAAAGCCCATTTAGGGTGCCCGGTATTTCCCTGACTTCCCTGAGCACTATAAAATTATCTGACACGCCATCCAACACTTTCTCCAAGTACAAAAAACAGCCGTTGCTCTTTATATGCAACTGGTTCAACATCTCTGCTGTGTCTCTGCTGATGTGTTGCCTCAGACTATTCTCCTGATCTAACCTCGCTAAGATGTATTGTTGCACGTCGCGCACCACTTGAGATTTCCGTAAATCGTCCAGGCTCAGCTTCCTGAAGCCAGTGAACATTTTCGCGATGCTCTTAGACTGTTTCTTAGCTGTACAAACTAGTAACAACCACTGTGGAAACAAATGGTGGTGATTGGCCAAGAGTTCAGCTATCGTTTTACTCTGTGACGTTCTATCTCTCGGTTTGGACCTAGTCAAAGTTGAATTGGAGTATACAAAAGAAAGTTCATCTATGGAGTCTATGAGGATAAATAGTGAGGTTTTTGGAGGATCGATTTCAAGTAGAGGGAACAATAGAGCCCTTTTGAGGCAATCGTCGGGATTCATTTCAATGTTCTTTGCCCTAAGGGCTATCTGGATCTCTGGATCAGATTTTAGTTTCTCCAAGTAGGCATCAGCTATGATAGTACGAGGATTAGCAGGTAGACTGGGTACAGGTGGAATTTCAGCTGATTTCTTGGCTTCCAGAGTGGGTGATAGCAAGTTTTCTGAATAAACATTACTATATAGACTCTCTTGAGGTAAACTACAATTCTCTGATAGGTTTTGTTCATAGGAAATGTTTTTCACCAACTTTGGGCTGCAAAGAGAGCCCTCTTCGGTGTTTTGAGTTTCCTGAGCCATCCTACGTCTGATACTCCGTTCTTTATGGCTCTCAGTGGAATGATTGAGAATTTGTGTTACTAGAGACCTAATGAACTCGCTCAATGACAGACTCTTCTCGTTATGTCCTTGCAAGAAGTGATAACCTAGTAGTCTTCTATTTAGCGCCCTTTGTTGCCTACTGGCAGGCCCTTGGGAGGGCCAACATAGCTCTGAACAAAATGTAGTTTTTCCACAACCAGAACCTCCCAGCAGTAGAGCACCACATGTTTTCGAGGCAGGCCTTTGATCAAGGCAATGTGCTAATTTCTGAAATGCCCATTCCCTACAGTAAAATTTCTTTTTGTCTTCTTGTACAGCCATTTCTGCCAATTTTAGTTCGAAAAATAGATCTACAATCGTTATTTGTCAGATAGGACGGTGGGTTCTAGTTTTTTTTTTTTTCTATAGGTACAGTCTTAATATTGTGTTACGTATATGAAATTGTCATGTTATTCCTTAGAAAAACTACATGTTCACCTTGTATTACAAAGTCTAACGAATTTGACTCCATGTAGAAGATGTTTCAGAATTGTTGTCTTTTCAGGTGCCATGAAAGAAATTGTCTGTAAAGAAAGAGAACTTCATGGTTCATAAAATCAATTGAAACTATTTAAATACTGTCTGTAGGTTAATCAAGGAGGTGGTACATTCATTATTCCATATTTTTGGTATTATGAATATTATTTCAATATACAGTGTGACCCATTTAAGACCGGAGCACCCTCATAAAAACTATAGTTTTTGACCGATTTCTTTTTTTTTCGTTTCTGCAGAAGGACTATCCGGAGATCAACGTTTACACAAATTTGCAAAATAAAATTTCAATATACAGGGCATCCTATATTATTTTTTTCAAGTTAAAAATTGCGAAATATCATTAGCGATTTTTTTTCAAAAAAAATCGACCCCACCACTGAATTCAGCATTCAGCGCAAAATTTCATTGAAAAATTCCAATTGGCAACAAAGTTATAACAACATTTTGATGGCTCACCATTTTTTATGCATATTTCAGACAAATTCTGAGAAGCGGCAACATTGTCAACACAAATGTTGGAAATCATCGAGGTTTCTGGTATACATTTGAATTGATAACACAAATTATTATTGAGTTATAATCTCTAGAATGGTACCCTTTTGGAATGAAGTGATGAAGTCGGAAAAACAGCTTTTCATAATAAGTTAATTATCAATGTAAACCAACAATTTCTGAAAGCTCTTGATGTTTTTGGCTTCTGATATTACCTTACTATACAGACTATCCGATTTTCTTACTCTAATTACTTGGATGAACAAGGCCGATTTTTCGACGTTATGGATTTTTCATTTTATTCCATTTCAGATGTTATAACTCGATAATAATTTGTGTAATCAATTCAAATGTATACCAGAAACCTATTGATGATTTCCAACATTTGTGTTGACAATGTTGCCGCTTCTCAGAATTTGTCTGAAATATTCATAAATAATGGGGAACAATCAAAATTAATGTTATAACTTTGTTGCCAATTGATATGTTTCAATGAAATTTTGCGCTCAACCTGAATGAAGGATGCTGAATTCAGTGGTGGGGTCGATTTTTTTTTGAAAAAATCGCTAATGATATTTCGCAATTTTCAAGATGAAAAAAATAACATAGTATGCCCTGTAGACTGAAATTTTATTTTGCAAAATTGTGTAAACGTAGATCTCCGGATAGTTTTTCTACAGAAACAAAAAAAAAAGAAATTGGTTGAAAACTATAGATTTTATAAGGGTGCTCCGGTCTTGAGTGGGTCACACTGTATGTGCAATGAGGACAAATCAGATGATTTGCCCCAAAATGTCACTGCATTTAAAGAATTTTCCTATCAGAGAGCCTATAAGAAAAATTCACAAGCTTGTCAGTGACAATTTGTATTGAAAAAGGTATAATATAGAAAAATATCAAATTTTCACTTGGCTTTGGACGTTTCGGGAACGAATCTGCTCCCGTTTTCAACATAAAAAATTGATATTCGAAAAGTGTCAAGACAAATATGAATTTGCTATTCAAATATCCATTTTTTATGTTGAAAACGGGAGCAAATTCGTTCCCGAAACGTCCAAAGCTAATTGAAAATTTGATATTTTTTCTATATACCTTCATTTCTCTTCTCCAAACCTTTTTCAATACAAATTGTCACTGACAAGCTAGTGAATTTTTAATTACTTAAGGCTCTATGATAGGAAAATTCCGAGAAATTCTTTATTTGCAGTGACATTTTGGGGCAAGTCATCTGATTTGTCCTTACTACACATATATTCAAATAATATTCATATTTTTATTCTAGAGAACCAATGGGAGAATCCCAAAAAATCTGGAATAATGAATGAAACTATTTAGTTGAGTCATCTATCTATTGATAAAGATGTGATAAAGATGTAGGCGAGGATGTAGGTATGAGAAAACACTCTGTATAATAATGATTTGCACTGACATAATAAAATTCAGTTTTTAAGGTCAATAAATAAATATGAGCAAATATGAGTCATACCTACATATGAGAAGAAGGGACCTCAAGTAAACATAATATCCAAATCCCAAGTTTTCTAGATTATTGTATGAAGGTATGTATATGAACTGATGAAAAAGAAACGATTGTATTACTACATTATATTAGTCCAGATGAATATGATAAGGTTTATATTCAAAACGTGATTTATTTCAATGAAAACAAACCACCATTGAAATAGAGGTTGATCTATTTTTGCGACTTCAGAGAGGAAGTAATATTACACATAATATTTTGATAGCTTTAAAGGTAAATAAATAAAATCTGGTCATGCATCGTAGATAGGAGCTATAAATAAAATCTGAAGAAGGTGCTTCGTGATTCTTGACACCTACACTATTATAATCTTGACAAAATGGATTGTTTATTGTACTTACCAGATACAGCATTTAAATGGGTCACTTCAACACAGGATCACAGGAAACATGAATGGAATCGCAGAATTTTTAATATCTTATGTGAATATGTTAATTTTGTTATAGAATGTTTAACATTTACCATTTCTCATTTCTTGGTTATGGGAAAATTTCACTGAAATTTCACTGTCAAATCTCTGCTTCTGCGTCTGCCAAGTTCACCGCACGGTAGCGCCACTAGCAAAACGATTGACGCCTATTTTCGCGGTAAATTCAAATCATGACAGCTTTGTCAAAAAAACTTATTATCGAATAAAAATTGACACGAGTGTGACATACCTATCAGTTATACGTTGTTTTCGAAATCATTAGTGAATTGACTCATTATATCCCTGTATCCCTCGCAAAATTAAAGGAATTCGAATAAAAATGACTTGTGCTCGTTGTGGGTGTGGAGTTTATGAAGCCGAAAATCAAATAACTTTGAATAAAATATGGCACAAATGTTGCTTCTGCTGTCGTAAGTTATCAATGATATCTTTAAGCAAACTAGTATTATTCAGACAAAATCATATTGATAGACATCATTCTTATTATTGATTCAAGAATAAAAAAGACCGATGCTGCTACTCTCTGATGATTCATGCTGCTGCCATCTTTTGTATAGTAGTTGAACTTCTCATATTTGTTGCGACCCAAATTTTCAACCTGAGCTGACATGAGTTAGAAATCTATAGTGACATTTTCAAACACACTTTTGAATTCAAAATTCTCTGGTGAATTAATTGAAATTCTTCAAATGTTTTAGGCAACTGCAACACAAAATTGGACAAATGTACGGCGAAAATTTTCCAAGGTGAAATATACTGCCAATGTTGCTATGAAAATATTGTTGAAGATTTGGAAAAATTATCTCCAACACCCTATTGCAGGCCTTGTCGAGTAGTGTCCTCTCCTAGTTGTATATGTTTGAGAAAGGAAGATAATCGTGAAAACATTCCATCTTTCGATTATTGTAAAAAGTACAATATTTGCTTCCAACCAGAAGAGAATAAGGTGAATTTTCAGTTTTCAATAAGTATAAGTAGGTACCCACTAAACATGATACATAACAAAAATATTTTTCAGTTATAAGTTTTGTGATATTGTTGAAATAACATTGCCATAATGTCCTTCTAAAGTATCCAACATAATATTATGAAGTAAAACGTTTATGAGACGTTGCATCAATATTGATATCAATATCATTAGATAATATTGTGATATGTTGATTTTAGGTTCATCAGATATATCTCAGACAGAGTTGTTATGTAATTTGTGCAACGTTTTCGTTTCACCACCTTATGAAGTAGCTAACATGTATAGGGGATATAAGGGGATAATATTTTTCCTTCTACGGCAAAGTAACCTTGTCAATTGTCAAAAGTCAATTCAATTCCATTCCAGCCATTTTGTTTGTTGTCTATTATGGTGAACAAGTCAAACAGTGTGATAATATTCGTAGTTATCATATAGTAAGTTAAGAACTGAACAAATCTTGGACTCAAATAGACTCGAATGAAAATATGAATTGCCCATGATACCTACTTAGATTCCAGGTTTGTTGTGCTGGAATATAGAAATGCAACCAATCTGTATCTGCATTTCATAATATGTGAAAAAGTAGGAAGGAATCGTGAATACGCAGTGTGTTCATATTTCACGAATCACAAAAATTATTGGTGAGTTATTTGTCATAGCTAGAAGAAGAACATAGGATAGAATTTCAAAATAAGTCAGGAAACTTCCAAAAACTCGTATATATTTACCTATTACTTTTCAGAATGTCAGTAAGAGATCACTGGATTATGCAGAAATCATATAGCTGAGCTTGGTATAACTGGATTCATGAAGCAGAATAATTGAAATGATACATAGGAAGATAGTAGTTAATCTGTCTCAAATTATTACTGTGTAACTGGATCATATACTTATAGTCTTTCAGGAGTACGGTATGATCAATTCTTATTCAGGGATAGATGATCTTCTCTGTCTTTTGTGAAGATCATTTAGATGATTGTCTTGATGATTGATTCCAGACAAAATAGACATGACCTAAAGACTCCTAAAAAATAATTAGTACTTATATATGTTAATATACAATATTGTTTAGATATGTATCAAGTAAAATTGAATATACGTTATAAAGTAACATCGATTTTATGTGATTCCAATATTTACCATTAACATTACATTGTAATATTTAAAAGAGGCACAAAAGCCTATTCCCACAACGTATCTGTGACATTATGCATCTCTCTGAATAACATCACAAAGTAACAATGTAATATAACATTTATGTTTAAGTTATGTTTTCATGTTTAGTGGGTATAGACGTGGTATAGACAAATGTATTATTTTATATCATTGTATTTCTTCGTCTTTCATATTTCTTTGGTAGTCATGCCGTTCTTTCTTCTTCTCAAATTTCCGCATACCCATAAGAATTATACGATGCCCAGACAGCGAATCAGATATTCCCTCAATAATCTCCCTATCAATTCCATTTTGGAATTTTGGAATATTCTATAAATATTCTGGAATATTCTAGAATATAAGTGGAATATTCTCTGAATATGTAAATGGGAATTTCTCAGAGATATTCACAGAATATGTCCAAAAGATGAATATTCAATCGAGCTCTATAGAATATACAGAGTGGGCCTTTGAAAACGAAACAGAGGCTCTGTAGGTCGCCAAAACCGGATTATAAAAAAAACTGAAACAGGTCAACTACATTTTCGAGGGGGACATCTTTCTAAAATATTTTCAGCCCTGCGGCGTTGCCGCTTTTAACGAAAAGAAGCAACAACTTTGTTATTTCAAATGGAACACCTTGTATTTTATTGCATTTTTAGATTCTCCCCGAAAATCTGATTTCATCAATGCATCACGCTTGGGGTCTAGCTGTAATGGTTTCAGGGATATAAAGTGTTCAAAATCGAGATTTTTCAACTTTAAAATTTTTTTGTGTCGAAACTATTCATTATTGGTCAAAACGGCTCTCATGTCCCTATCTCAACTTGTGATTTACTATCTGATAGAATATTCCATAGGTATTCCTGGAATGATATTCAAATGAACATATTCTTAAATAAATAAGGCTGTCTTTCAGACTCTGTAGCAACCCCAGACAGCACTGGATATTCATAGAATATTCTCTAAATATGCCAAAAAGGAGGAGTATATTCCGAATATTCATCGATTATTCCTAGAATATATACATGCCTCTGGAACATCTAAAAGGAATATTCCAAAGTGAATAGTCGGACATGTTCAGGGAATATTCAGGTATGAATCTTCCAGGAATATTCCCAACTGAATATTCTCTGTTGTATATTCATGAAATATACCCAACTGAATATTCTGTGTGGTATATTCATGAAATATACCCAACTGAATATTCTGTGCGGTATATTCATGAAATATTCTCAACTGAATATACTGTGGTGTATATACATGAAATATTCCATGAATATTCCTATGTTTCTCAACACATAAATAACATTTATTATTTCAGAGATGTGAGTATCGAACATCAATTAGATGTAAGGGGATTTTGAAACAAAAAGTGTTTTTGATCCGATTTCGAACAATGCTCTCACAAGAACTTGATATGTATAACATTATTCAATTCGATCACTGGCCTAGTGGTCAAGGCGTTGCTCTGATAGTCTTGAGGTCACGAGTTCGATCCCTACTTGGGTCACTTTTTTTAATTTCAGAATATGTTTTTTGGAATATTCCAGGAACATTCAACATAGAATATTCTTTTGGGTATAATCTATGATTATCTGAGGAATTCCCATTCGCATATTTAGAGAATATTCCACAGATATTCCGGAATATTCCAGATTATTTCTAGGATATTCCAATATTCCAGAAGGAATATGATAGGGAGATTCATGGAATATCTGGTGCTGTCTGGGACGCCTTGACCTCTAGACAATTTTATTTCCAGATTTACTTCAATATTTCGGAATCCTTCAAAGGTACTGCTCTGAAATTCGTAGTGTAAACTATAGTGAATGTGCATGGAAAACATGTACCAATTCATTCAACATACAGAGGGAGGGAGTTACTAGGTATTTCGCATTCTGTTTGATAAAAATTGATGTAACTTTTATGGACTACGGCACTGACTACATTTTGATACCTCAAAAAGTTCGCGATAGAAAATAAGCGTACGCTATCTATCGGAGTATTTGGAAGCTGTCAAAGCGGCCTGTTCAAAATGCTGCCGTAAGGTGGGGCGACGTGCTATTTTCTATTGCGACTCTGACAATCAACGCTCTGACATAATCAATTATCTCACTTTTTTCCATCTTTTTTCTAACTCCAGTTTTTTATAATCCTCCTTGGTTTTCTAGATAAATATCAAAATTCTTTTTGGTATGCTTCTCCAAACTTCTCGTGTTGAGTTATTGATATTGACCACGATTTGGGAACTGATGGTCATTTCCAAATTTCCGTTCAGGCCGGGTGAAGTAGTTCATAAACATGATATTATTATTGTGGTCAATACCTCAACACAAAACACAAATAATGAGGTAAAAGCTTGCAAAACATGATGATCGTCATAATCATGAACAAGTATGGAGAGGAGCACCAAAATGAATTTTGTTAGATATTTCGAAACCCAAAAGAACTTTTAAAAACATTGCGGGTAAAAATAGGTGAAATATTTGATTTTATCATTCATCGAAATATAAAAATTTGGTTGAAAGTGAAAACAAAATCAGAACTTTTTTTTCAAATTGATGTTCAATATACCTAATTATGACGCCCACCTCCATCAATTCAAATGTCAATTCGTTTTTGCCACTGCACAATAATTTTGTCAAACTTTTTACTATAGATCTGTTAGCATTATTTGAGAAAATATTTGTTCCTTTCGGAATTATGCGGAATACGAAATTTTTACAGGAGAATCTCTGACAGGAGTAACAAAATGAAGATAATCAGTCATCTGAGAACCCTATAACCACCCCTAGGATGTTATGAAAAAAATGTCAGGGGGTGAGGGTGGTTATTTCAACCCTTCTACAATTTCTTTCACGTTTCTTTCATAACTGAAAGGAGGATTATTATCCTCTGAAATGCACTTTTGTCAAATTTTATCCAATTTGTTTCACTATTATTATAACGGCGCACAAAAATATGTTTTTTGTGGAAACTCTGAACTCGTTTCACAAAAAACGGTAAATTTTTTTATATAAATATAAGTTGGGCCTATCAACGTGTTTTGAACTGTATCATATAGATCAATTAACCGTGGTAGAGCTCTCTGTGTCCCACTAATTTTGGGACACCCTGTATATAACAAAAATACAACATATATATTTGAGTGGGGAAATTCCCCACACATTCATACCAGGATATCTCCTGAACAATGTCCAATATTGTGTATTCCCAGAATATTAATCTGGAATATTGCTGGAATATTCACATTGGAATATGCCTTGAATATTCTAGGAGCTTATTGAATATACTATATATATATGCTAGTAATATTCAGTGGATATTCGGAGTATATTCCACTTTTTCAGTACCTATACCTATATTCAGAAAATATTTTAGGAATATCGTGTGCTGTCTGGGTATAGCTTTTAGATAATGAAAATATACGTGATCGAAACATCCAGTATTTAGATAGCTGGAATTCCATTTGTGCACTTACACCATACTTTTACACATAAAATTTTTTTAGGCCAGAAGAACAAAGACTTCCCAGTCTTGTAGTTGCTTGATAGACATCAAGAAAAATAATCAGTCTTATTGCTTTGCATTTCCAATCCCAAGAGAAGTTGCTAATTATTATAACAGAGCTAACATGAGAAAAAATAAAGGCCAGTATAGGTAAGTTCTGTTGATTTTTCTTCATCATCTAGGAACTTATTTATAACAACTAATAGCTATTTATATATCAAGGGAACAAACGTATCCATTTCCTTCCGCGTGTGAGGTTTGATTTGACATGGAAGGAAATGAATTTGTGCTTCTCGTGTTTCGATCCAAATCAATGTGTTCCCGTAGAACGAATTGGTAGATTGCAAAGAGGACTGTTCCGCCCCTCGTCAAGAGAGGCCGTTAGTCGGATTCTGTTCCTCTACAAAATAATTATCAGCTTTGCCACAGCCGTCTTCATCTGCCAACCTTGTTCTGAATTTATTAACCATCCATGTTTGAGGAATCTCTCTGATTTGCATTTTCAATTTGCCACACTTGTAAGGGAAAATTAAATATACAGGATGATTCACGTTAGAGTAATAACGTTCGCGACAATTTCTTCAAATGGAACACCCTATTATTCAATTTTTGGAATCTCTATGGAAAGCTTAATTAGAAAATATATAACACACAGGGTTAGTATACAGTGCGTCCGTTAAATTTAGTGCTCTCGTAAAATCCACTAACCCTTAACTACTAATCATACGTCTCAGAGACGGCATATCAGCATCCGATTTGTTCGATTACCACTGCTTTTCAATATCGGCCATTGTCCTACTACCACGTAATTTATGTCCAACTAGCACTCATTCAGTACCCTAAAGTTGATCTATGGATATGGTTCAGTTTTAGAAATATCTCAAGTGAAAGATAGATTCTCGTCTCGTAGACGTATAGGTAGTTATTACGTAACAATAAAAGTTCAATTTCGCCTATAATACGTATGATTGCGTCTATATCTAGATATACAGGCATTGTCATTTTTTTCAATTTGCATGTTTAATTATGACTTAGTTCTGTGTCATATTTTATTACGACTCTAACTGTATTCAGAATGACAATAATATCATGGATAATTTTAGTATTTCAATTTTATTTTAGTATTTCTATAGATCAATGTCGAAATTTTGAACATAAGGTGATGGTGATCCCCTATTAAATTTTGATCGCCACTGAAATTTGTCTCCAAAATACTCTGGTACATATTTTTTCAATTTTCTACCTCCTGAACTGAAAAATCAAGCGATTTTAATATTATATTTATCTTTTAGTCATGTGTTCATATGTTCTTTTAGGATATACCAGAATTTTAATGTGTATAAATTTGAAAATGTCTTGAATGGTACCTATACAGGGTTTTTCACTTAAAAGTCGCCGCACGCCAATATCTCGAAAACGAATAGGAATATTTGATTTCTGTAAAAAGTAGTCAATGGAGGGGGCATACAAAATTCAACGCCTACTAGGAGCTGAGCGTCGTGACGCGTCGAAAATATAAATCGATTGCAGTGACTTTCAAATTACACGCACGCATCAAAAGCACCTACATGTTATTCATAAAATTTTTTGTTATTTACTCGAACTAATTCATCGCACTCATTTCTGAGTTATACCGTTACGTTATACCAGTTTATAGTAAATATTTCTTGTTTGACGAAAAATGCGATTTTGGATGATTTTTACAAGAATGCCATGAATATTAGTTACTATGGCAATCATTGTTATCGCAATTGTTTTTCATTTCAGGTTAATCTAATAAACAATACATACAAACAATAAACTACATGATAAAGTAAATTAAAAATTCTATTCAAAATTATGTCCATCTGCTCGAATACAACTATCAATAACTTTGAGCAGATGAGCGTGGGTCACTTGTAGGAGCGTTCTTCTTCGCTCCATAGAATTCTCAAAAGAACATTGGCATCTTGGCTATACAAATCGGAAAATCTTGCTAAGAAATCCATTCTTCTAGCGGGATCACCTGGTTCTAATTTATGTACTAGTTTAGTTTTGTGAGGATGAAAAGAGTTTCTTTTTAGAATTCTCCACGATGAACTTATGGAAACACCGGTACTTTCTTTAATTTTCAATAGAGATAGCTTAGGGTTATTATCAACCTGCTGAATTACAGCAGCATTATCTTCATCATTTGTAGTCGTCTTTTCTCTATTTCTTTTAGGTTTGATGAAGCTGCCATGTTTTTACATAAACTTGGAAAGGTTTTTGCATCGGGGACTCTTCTATGGGGATAACGCTGTGCGTAAACTCTTTTTACTTCTCTACAATTTGACCTGCATTCTCCAAACACCATCAGTAACATGGCCACTTTTTCCACATTGCTAAATTGAACCATTCTCATATTACTATTGTTAGTTTTGTTTGAATCGAACAAATCAGAATATTTCTTATTACAAAATGTGACAATATCTCTGACACAGTATTGACAACATCTGTCGCTTGTAATTGCACTAAAAACAATTGCGATAACAATGATTGCCATATAGTAACTAATATTCATGGCATTCTTGCAAAAATCATCCAAAATCACATTTTTTGTCAATCAAGAAATATTTACTATAAACTGGTTTAACTCAGAAATGAGTACGATGAATTAGTTCGAGTAAATAACAAAAAAGATTATAAATAACATGTCCTTTGCGTGCGTGTAACTTCGAAAAAAATCTACTGGACCCCCTCCATTGACTAATTTTTACAGAAATCAAAATATTCCTATTCGTTTTCGAGATATTGGCGTGCGGAGTTTTAAGTTAATCTGTCAATCCAGTTTGTAATTGGTATTTTATGATCAATAAACTATCTATCTAAATATCTCAGCAAAACTCAAATAGCACAATTTTCCCCAGTGTATTGTACAAAATTCTACGTTTTCAGTAAAGCGCCCAACTGTTGTCCCAAGGACGACCCCTTCCACACCCCCAGACGTACCACACGCATAAGGGTGCGCGACATCTCCCCGCCGCAAAGAAAGTGCCCCTCGCCCCCCAGACGCCGCAGCCCCTCGCCCAAGCCACGCAGGCGCTGCTGCTGCAGCCGCTGCCGGCCGCCGGCCGCCTCGCCGCCGCCATCTTGTCCCGCCGACCGTCCGCCATCTTGTTCCGCCGGCTGTAAGGTATCTTATTCTGCCGACCAGCCGCCATCTTGTCCGCCGTGTCGGCCGCCATCTTGTCCGCCGTGTCGACCGCCGCCTTGTCCGAATGCGCCGTGTTGCACTTGTTGCATGCCGAAGCCTTCCAGTAGGTGTCGGTCACCTCCGAGAAGGTAAGAGAAATTTATAAGATAGAGCAGTGGCGTACCTACGTGGGGGATAAGGGGGATATATTTCCCCCCATGACCCATATGCCGATAGAAAAACATCAGTTATAAACTTGTAAAGTGAGAATAAGATGGGTTGAACTCTGGTGGGATCATTACATTCCACTTGCCCATAAATGATCAAAAATATTCTTATTCTTTTAGTTTCATTATTCAAATAATTATTAGATATACTGATCTGTGTAGCCAAATTGGTCGATTATGAATATGCCACAAAAATACGTCAACATTTCTGCGAAGAGGGCAAGCATTTTTTTCTCAGTGTAGGTCGAATGTTCTTCCGCTGGGATTTTCGGTCTTGGGCTGTGATTCCCCGATATTATTCAGTCAGTTCGTCAGTTCGTTCATTCTAGGTAATGAGTTGTACGTTTGATAACAAGTAAGAGGTGCAGTTGTTTGAGTGTTCAATGTTTACCAGATACCTACCTTTAGTGTATAATTAGATAATGATGAAACAAATAAGTGATTTATGTATGTATTATTCAAAATGAAATTCAACGAGGATGATGATGCAATAAACATTTTAAATCTCTGGAACAAATCCATCCAGGAGATATTGGAAATTGTTCACAAGGTGGCACGGTGCAGTTCCAGATAAAATAAAAACAATTCAAACACTTTGGACTCCGCCACCATCATATAATTTTCCCCTATTGGATAAATTCAAAGATGAAAAGGTCAAACTTTAGATTTTTTCATCAACCAGCTGGAAGAGAGATTTACAAATCATAAAGACATTTTGAGCGGATTTATGAACTTATTATCTCCAACATCAGTAGGAACTGCAGGCCAAGCAACTGATTCAGGAAACTGATATTCCTGAAATTATCATCAAAGCCGAGATCAAAATGTGGCACGAACATTTGAATAAATGTTTGGAAATCAGAAACAAACATCAGGCACTGGCCTATTTGGATATTTGAAGTCAATATGCCTACCTAAATGTGCATAAACTTCTGAAAATATTCTATGGCCAGTGTCCACTGCGACACCAGAAAGAACCTTCTCTACTTTGAAACGCATCAAAACCTATTTGAGGAACACTACCGCCCAAGTGAGGCATTATTGAAGAAATTGCTCCCAAACCAAGGGGCACTTAGATTTAATTTTGTAATGTTCAAAATTATTGTAGTTACCAATAATCTTGAATAAAAATATGTTTCTTTCGAAAAAAAAAATTCCCCCCCCCCCTAAGGTAAACTTCTGGGTACGCCACTGATATAGAGAATATGTTGATGTATCGAGGACTTCACAGAGGTTGTTAGAAAAAGCTAACCCCTTTGCTAGGGTAGGTATAGTACACTGCAAAAAAGTTGGGTTCGCTCATTAGGAAAAGTCGTAACGGAATCCGTATTCTAGATAAAAAGTGTTGAACATTTTTTTTTTTTCATGTTCTGGTTCTCACGAAAAGGGATATCCTGTAATGTTCAGAGAACATCGTGAGAACTAAGGGAAATAAGGTAGGAATTGGTGTTCTTCTTAAATTTCTGGAGGAACACCTCCCTTGGCAATGTGTTCCAGAGCCTCGCTGTTCGTTGAATGAACGAGTCTTTGGAAAGAGATGTGCGGCAGGTCTCCAAAGTGACCACGAAGGGGTGCGAAGCCTCAACTCGACGGGTTAATCTCGCGGGGACTGCCAAGGGAGGAACAAATGCTGATATTTTAGAGCACATCGTCCATGAAAATATCTATGAAATAGGGCCAGATCGCCAACTTTTCTACGGTGATCCAGAGACGTGAGTGAGTTTGATGTGAGCGAGGCATCACCCACGAGACGAGTTGCCCTTTTTTGGTCAGAATCCAACAGTTTCAGGGTATGTTTGGGTGCTGCATTCCAAATATGGGAACAGTATTCCAGGACAGGTCGGATCTGTGCCATATAGATCATAAGCAGCTGACTGGAAGTGAAATAATAGCTCCTAGCTCGAAACAGAAAGCCAAGTTTTTGGGATGCATTTTTAGCAATTGATCACACATTATTTTCGATTATTTCGAAACTACTGGAAACATTGTGATGAAATTCTGTATGGATATGTTCTGGAAGCTGAAACATCGCATGAATTTGTTTTCATATCTGACACTCACAGAGGGCGCTAGTTACACGGTTCGTACCGAGTACTTTCAAACATAACTTTTTTGAGGTTAGATTTTCCAGACAAAACTTCAAGTGAACTATTGATAAAACTCCTATGTACCGTTTTCGGAATATTTTGATTTGAAAATAATGGAGTGATAGCTGACGCTGGTATAAAATGAGTATTATTGAGATCAATTACCTATTCATTCAAATTCGAAAACAGAAACATTATTGTTGTGCTGAAATTATTGATTTAACAAAAGAATTACAAGTAGAAAATTGGGATAAATGTAACTAAAGTCATGAAATATTGAATCACAAATATGTTAAAAATGTCCTCTGTTGCTCCATTTCCACGATGCACGAGTCTACCATTTTTTATTTCAATGCATTATCCTCCTAACCTGAACCACAGTTAAGGACGGAGGATCAGCTGTTAGGTCATTCAAGATGCCATGTTAAATGTTGTTCCTCAACTCTTGACGTAATTTTACCTCTGTATAGCATCATAGAACTAGTTCATTGTACCAGTATATCACCTGACGAAGCTACTGTGTTGTGTTAGCGAAACATGTCGTGTGTTTGAGAATTTCGTGGAAATTTTATCGATTGTGAAGTTTTTACATTTGCCATGGATTTCCATCAAGTAACGGCCGAGTCAATGAAGAAAATTGACGATAACATTTCCAAACATGCTACGTTTAAAAATCACCCTGTACACATATTAAAAATCTACCCAGCAAACAATTTTGGTCGGCCCTATGCTAGTCGTATGCTGGTCCATAATATGCAGGCCAGAATTGACCATAAACGCAAAACATTGATGGGCCAGTACCAATGAGAGACTCTGGCCGTCATCAGGTTCAGTACATGTCTGCCGATACCTAACCTAACCTAACCTGATTAAAAAAAGACGACCGCCACGGGATTCGAACCCCGATCCACCGCTAACACTTGGTTTACAAATCGTACTCATTCCAACCGAGGAACTACACTATTCTTCATATGATATGTGTGTACGAATTTCATTTGCAGTCAAGTTTCGAATGGTACTCTCTCATTATTAATAATATCATCATCATAACAGATATATACAAACGATGAACAAAGAAAAACAACCGATTCTATGATTGACTACCGAATTTCGGTCATACCTATTCTATCATGGCCGTATTTGATGACTTCTTTATGATAATATTCAAATGCCCTGAGTAAACATCAGAAGTGGTTGTAGTAGTAGTATATGTATACTTGCTTGGTATGTATATGTACAACATACAAACTGGCCATCAACCTTACGAGAGGCCCTTCAGTTTAGTGTTCTGTGTCGGCTTTGTTACTCATTCCATGTGCCACCTTAGGAGCAGCACTGGTAATTGGAACGGAACAGCGAATCGAGAGCAACCTTTCGATACTCTGATTACTAGTCAAGCGCCTCAACCATTGCGCGATTCCGCCATCTTTGAAATCAGATTTATTTACAACTGATAGTATCAAATATTCCATGAATACAATAATTTTGAAACAGATATGTGGCGTGAATTTTACTATGGTGTGAAACCCATTGCATGTGCCAGAAGCAGACGCCCATGGGAGCAAATAGAGATGGGCGACCGTTCTGATAAGACAGAGCAATTTGATGAAGGCATCTTTTTGTTTCTGTACCCATTTGGATCACTCGAATTTGTTGATAGGTAAATCAGTTCATTTTATCTGACATTATACTTGAATGCAATTATTATAGGTACTAATACCAGAGATAAGTTACACCTAATACTTATAGTAGGTATATGTAATCATATATTTAATACGCTGATAACGTACATTTTTGTTGTAGGTGCAGGAAGATGTATTCGTTGTGTTTTATGTTATTATTTCTTGCTTCTGGTTTCAGAAGGATTGAAACTAACCGTAAGTTCACTTACATATTCACATTATCAAGTAGGTACCTATAACTATAACTTAAGTGTATCGGAAAGATAAGAAAACCTATCCCTATATTTTTTCCAGGCCCACAGGATTGATGAGAAAGAGAGTCCTGAAGATGATTTTTCTTGACTATTTCCGAAACGCTTCACAATGATATTAAGAAATTTCGTACATTGAATAAACTTTTGAAGCTCAACATAATAGAAGAAAACAAATTTCGAAATTTCATTCAGGGGCGTATCAAATAGAGAATTTTTGGGTGCAAACTTATCCAAAATTGGATATCAAAATATTGTATTTCAAATCCAAATTCTGGATAGAAAAAGTCATCATATGATAGTGCTAATTTACAGTTACAACTGCGGGAATGGGATGAAAACAGTAAAACAACTCTGAATTAGAGATGTGGGAAAAATATCTCCTAATTTTCAGTTGTAAGTGCTCTCCGCCACTAAAAAATGAAATAAATAAATTAGAAGATGTGAAGAAAAAAAGTTTCATCTGCCTAATTTACTGTTGCAACTGGGAATTATTGCTGTGAATCAACCTGAGATTCTTTAATGGGACCCTGTATTGTATTATATAATCGATTAGGGATTGTCATAACGAATGCATCTATACCGGGTTTGATATGGTTTTTTCGAATGATCACGTAGATATTCGCGTTCTAAGTTTTCATATGCTCAATGAGTGTGACAAAGAAAAAAGTTTTGATGTTCGAAGTCACACCCATATTGAGCATATGGAAACTTCGAACGCAAATATCTTTGTAATCGTTTGAAATAACCCTATCAAACCCGGTATCATTGAATTCGTCATGATAATCCCTAACCGATTATGGAATACAATACAGATTGTCCCATTTGAAAATCAAAAGTTGGTGTCGTTTCCAGTGAAACTGGAAGTGATAGAAGAATTATTGTTTCATCAATTAATGAGC